CCCGCCCCGGCATCTCCGCGCTCGCCGCCTGCGCGCGGCTCCTCTGCCGGCCAGCGCGAAGCTGCTGCTTTAAATAAGCCCCTTTCCAAAGGGCCCTGAGCCCCAGCGAGCCGCGTCTCCTTAATTATTTATTGGCCTGGCTGAGCCAGCAGCTGGGTCCTGCTCTCCCGTTCGCGGGGCCGGGCTTTTTAATCTCTTTAAAGCGAGCGGGGAAGGGGAGGGTGGGCTCTGCCCCGCGCTCCCCGCGGCCTCCGGCGGATCCGGGGAGGGGGAAGGAGGCAGCTCTCGCCAGCCGTTTATCCGGGCAGGCCCGTAATGAGCTGCTGCTGCTGCTCGGGGATAAATCACCAGCGCGGTTTAATTATTTAATACAACCGGTGCTGGAGAGGCTGGCGCTTAATTGGAGGGGAGCGCGATAGCCAGGCGGGGAGGAGCTGGCTCCAAACCTGGCCCAGCGCAGGGGAGATGCTGCCTTTGTGCAGCACTTGGGGTAGCTGAGACAGGGGGTCGAGCCGCTTCCCTCTGCACGAATCCTGGGCGCCAGCTGGGTGCTGGTTGTGGTTTGTGGCCACCCAAGGGTGCTGGGGTGTCTGTCAGCGCTCGGGCTCTTCCGCGTTCCTGGCGCGCTCCGGTCGCAGCCGGGCTGCAGGGTGCACCCCCTGCTCCCTCTCCTTTCCTTGCACCGTGTCCTCCGCTTCCAAGGGGCTGCTGGCTGTGCCAGGGCTGATCCTGCTCCCTGGAGCGGGGAGCGAGCCGTGAGCAGGGCTCTGCCTGTCCCCCCGGCCCCCTGCGAGTGGCACTTCAAGGGCTGGAAACCTGCTGGGCTCGGCTGTTTCCTCGTCCTCCCGGCAGCAGCAGGAAGAATTGAACTGCAGCCCAGGAGACCAGCCGCCCTCACACGGTTGATGCCTCCAGCAAAGTCAAAGCAGCCTCCGTTCCTGCTGTCCTTTTTGTCCTCTTGATGGAGGAATCCCCACCGAGGCAGCAAAGCCTCCCTTGCCCCGGGCCTGGGCAGCTGCCGCAGCGGCTGGGGGCCTCCCAGACCCCTTGGGGTGGGCGCGGG